TCCGTCTTGCTAACAAATTGAAGCCATACTTTATATTTGTTTTATTTATCAAGCCCTGCACATTGTTTGATCTATGAATCATTTGCTTTTTTATGTGAACGTTAATGCAATGATCATCATCAATATTACGAGGTAATAAATTAACCATATTATCAACCTAGGTGAAATTAACCTTCAGATACAGTATCTAGTTTAGGTAGATAATTTGAAGGTGAAAATACAAACCCGTTAAATTTACACAAAATGGGAATTTTACCCGAATTTAATATCTTTCGACAAGTTTGACATCCAATTTGATTATTTAATCAATATTCAAAAAACACCATTAAGAATTTGTTTTTGAGCATCATTTGATATTTCTAAGTCACTTTGAAGCCAAAGTCGATCACATACAAAACATACATAGCCAAAGCTATCATTTCTTACGCAGCGCAGATTTTTCCTTTGTTTCATTATTTATTTGCGATCATTTGCACTACAATTATTTTATGGGGGGACGCGATAAAATATTCTTTTGATCCTGACATTTTTATTAACTCACGAATTATACTGCTAACCCATGTCGCGCCTAAAGAAGTTTTACTTCAAAAATGTTTAGAGACTGCGAGCTAAATACAAAACTCAAGTGAAAGTCGACACATTTTGTTTTGTTTTTGACATATGATTTGACATTTGATGTATTTTTGTTTTGCTCGCAGACTATATCGAATAATTGCGATTGCTGCGCTTACTAGCGTCGTAGTCTTCAACTTCACGTTGGCGTTTTCGTTGCATTTGTACGGATTCACACCCGTGTCGCGCCTAAAGAAGTTTTACTTCAAAAACACACGTATTATTAAACTTGCAAAAATAATTTCATCTTCATGTGATAAATTTATTACCCTGTGTCAACTTTTTCTAGGTGCGAATTCAGATATCAAAAGATATGGGGAAGTGGTTAGGGTTGTGGAGGGTTCACCGTAATTCCATATATCATCTGGGGTAATCTGAGTTGTCATATGATAAATGTTGGAGATCATTTATTCCCATACTGTCACATCATGGTAGAGGAGGAATGAGAATTGCTTATTCATGGCAGTTTTTTTTATGGATGAGAGAGGGATGACAGGTTTATTAAAATGGGGGATGGATCCAAAAACTATGCCAAAAGTAAAGGACTGTGGGAGATGGTGGAAATAATTTTATTTTCATTAACACTTTGTGCAAGGATTTGTTGCCTGGAACTTTCTTTTGTCTTGTTTGATTTTTCTGACTTTTGTGGATGAGACAATTGCAACAAATGTGTTTTTTTCTTTTACCTTTTTTGCGTCGATCCACAGTAAATCCTTGTCCATCCTCTCGTCTCCACATCAATTTAGGAGCAGGAAAACCATCAGCCTTGCAAGTTAGAGTGATGTTCTGGTTTTCTCGAACTGCAACCGCAGACTGCGTGCTGTTTTCATCCAAAATATTTGGAGGTACTGGGGAATAATTGATAATTAGTAAAATAGATAGATAAAGCACGATTAGAGACTGATCTAATTCTAAGGATTGTGTAAGGAATAGGTCATGGGCTGATGAGTTCTCAGGATTTGCGCAAAATTTTGGTGAAATTAGTTAAAATGGAGCCTAGATAAGATATTATTATTGATATGATGCTGCATAAAATAGGAATTGTCATGTATAAACTCAATGATGAATTCACCACCATTCATTTTATCTTTTTTACAAAAAATTGGACTTGTTCTAGTTGACATTTTTTTGGATGCACAATGACATTTTATATGATTTTTAACTTCCCGTAGGGTAGTTATAGTAATGGGCCAAAAATCGAAAATTATTTAAAAATAGTTCTGATGACAATAAAAAATTGTAATTTGAGTATGTTAATCTCTAATGTATCCATTATGACAGAAAATTATAAAATTGCTGAATTTTTAAATTTAATAGAAGATATATATAATATTTTTATGGCACCAATATCTATTAAGACTATAAATACTATATTGTTGATTTTTACGTTTAATAGAAAATATTTATATTTCTATGGTACTCTGGGCAATGGGATGAGAACTGCGCGATGAGCTTATGTTGGTTTTAGTCGTGATAAAAGTTTGAAAAATATTTAGAAATAGTTTTGATGACATAGAACTTGTAATTTAAGAATTTTAATCTCTAATATATCTATTATGACTGTCAATACTAAAATTGCTGAATTTTTACATGTATAGAAGAATATTTTTTTATGGGACTAGTGCGCCATGAGCTTAATATTGCTTTTAGTTGGCGCCTGATGACAAAAGTTTGAAAAATATTTAAAAATAGTTTCTGATGCAATAGAAACTTGTAATTTAAAATTTTAATCTCTAATATATCTATTATGACTATCGATACTAAAATTGCTGAATTTTACATGTAATAGAATATTTATATTTTTATGGGACTAGTGCGCCATGAGCTTAATATTGCTTTTAGTTGGCGCGCTGATGACAAAAGTTTGAAATATTTAAAAATAGTTCTGATGACAATAGAAACTTGTAATTTAAGATTTTAATCTCTAATATATCTATTATGACTATCGATACTAAAATTGCTGAATTTTTACATGTAATAGAAGATATTTATATTTTTATGGGACAGTGCGCCATGAGCTTAATATTGCTTTTAGTTGGCGCGCTGATGACAAAGTTTGAAAAATATTTAAAAATAGTTCTGATGACAATAGAAACTTGTATTTAAGAATTTTAATCTCTAATATATCTATTATGACTATCGATACTAAATTGCTGAATTTTTACATGTAATAGAAGATATTTATATTTTTATGGGACTAGTGCGCCATGAGCTTAATATTGCTTTTAGTTGGCGCGCTGATGACAAAAGTTTGAAAAATATTTAAAAATAGTTTTGATGACAATAGAACTTGTAATTTAAGAATTTTAATCTCTAATATATCTATTATGACTGTCAATACTAAAATTGCTGAATTTTTACATGTAATAGAAGATATTTATATTTTTATGGGACTAGTGCGCCATGAGCTTAATATTGCTTTTAGTTGGCGCGCTGATGACAAAAGTTTGAAAATATTTAAAAATAGTTCTGATGACAATAGAAACTTGTAATTTAAGAATTTTAATCTCTAATATATCTATTATGACTATCGATACTAAAATTGCTGAATTTTTACATGTAATAGAAGATATTTATATTTTTATGGGACTAGTGCGCCATGAGCTTAATATTGCTTTTAGTTGGCGCGCCGATGACAAAAGTTTAAAAAATATTTAAAAATATTTCTGATTGTAGTATAAAGCTGTAATTTAAGTATGTTAGTCTTGAATATCTCTATTATGATAGCAAATACAAAAATTTGGGAATTTTAATTTTTCACTTACCAGTTCGTCCAAGTTGTTAGAATCCGTCATGAAAAACGTGAAAATGCCGCCGCTAGCTAAGCACAATACAAGTGAAGATGTCGCACAGAATTATTTGCAAATGCGTTTAGACTGTTACAATACGGGAGCACTTTTTCAATTTTGTGCAACTATTTTTTTTTTTTTTATTGAATTTGAAATGAAATGACGATTGGAGATAAATTGATTTATGATTTAATTTGATTTGCTCAGATATAACAAGATAGTAAAAATAATGAAAGTTACAGTATTTGTAATAATATATTTGAAAACGTTTGAAATTTCTCAAATATTTCATCACGGTACGGGATGTTCCGGCAATTTGCCTTAAGGCACGATGCCATACACCACTAGTTTTTTTTTTAATCATCTTACCGACTACTTGCAAGTATCCAACTTGACTCAGCATAGGATTTGTATTGACTTGGCACATATAATATCCTCTGTCCTCCTGTTGCGCCTGGCTAACATGCAATAACCAGGTGTTGGCATTGTCGTAAGAAACGCTGAAACGTGGTAGACGTGAAATGACGTGACGATGGATCGTCAAGATCATTTGACGATCTATGTGGATCCAGGCAACCTGGGAATAGATAATAGTAAATGGTAATTGATAAACTTTATTAGTTACTAGCTGACCCGGCAAACGTTGTTTTGCTAAATATGGTATATTCTAAACCATTTCTAGAGAATCAAAAATATTAATACTTTAAGTGCATAAGGATGTGTTGTTTGAATGCTATTATATACAATGATGAGGTATTATAAAAACAATAAACCCCATTAGTTTGTCTATATTTTGTCAATACAATCAAACTGCAAGTTTTATACACTTTCTATAGAAAACATCGTATAATCCAATCCGAGTCTTTTTTGGTCTTTCGACTTATTGATTACGTTTCAAGTTATTCAGATTCTTTTTGGATTCTGGATTTTGTGTATAATTGTAAATAATACAACTGAGCTTATACAAAATTTTCAAATTTTTGCGAGGAGAGATAAAAAATTAAGTATTTCTTCTTTGACCTGCTTTTTGAAAAGTTTCAAGTTATATTCGATGAATTAAAAAAATTTAATAAAAAGTATATATGTAGAGCAGGGCGAGACACAAAGGTCCAATTTGACTTTGAGCAAATATAAACTATATTGTGAAAACCATAACAATTATATCACAACAAATAAGACATATCAAACGAATAAGACCTATCTGACTACGTTCAGTAAACTGACTGTGCTTGTTTGATGTCTTCCAAAAATTTGTTATCAAGACCTTTTTATCCTATATGCGGGGTAACTTGTAAGGTGTAATTTTAAAGGTATTTTACAAAATAATTACATTTTTAACTAATGCTAAAACTACCAACGGAAGAAAATACTTTTATTATGGATTTTCAAATATTACCGTTTATCTCCCCCATTTCAAAGATTATCGTTTTCAAATCAAGTTTGTAACTGGCTATACATTTTTTTCCCTCTACTTTCAAATATTGTTGTTAAACAATGCTTGACTTTACTGATTTTTGACACATCGGTGGTGGACCTTTTTAACCCCGGACCTTTATATATTACTATCTATTCTTCGATAGATAAATTCTGGAAAATTATAACTGGGAAAATGTTATTCGATAAAATGTCTATTTGATCGATACCAAATTTAGGTTCTGAATTTAAATAAGATAAATAAAAAATAATATGACCTAGAAAATGTTTTATAAATACCAATAAGTATATAATTATACAAATGAGATCTTTCAGAGCACTGTGTTTGAGAAAAATATGCCAAAAAGTGCATTTTCATATTAACATATCAAAAAAGTTTATATTTTGAGTCTCTAGTAACACTTGCGGCCTGTTTACTAACGTTTTTGTATATAAATAAAACTACAAACAAAACTACTTACTACAAATTTATCATAAATAAATAATATTCGCGTAAAACATCCTATTAAACGTAATTGAACATCATCTGTCAAAAGCGTTTGACATTTCACGAAATTGCCACCGTCCATTGTTTTATTTATATTACGCTTCTACAAAAATTTTCAAATTAAAAATGTAAAGTTTCTACGCGGATTTGAAATAATTTCTCACCTTTTAGACTTTCTCTGGATTGGCACGAATTTTTCAAGACTAAGACTGGCCAAATCGATTCAGCCGTTTTCGAGTTTTATTCGGACATTTGAAAGAGAGCTCCATTTTTATATATAAGATATATAAGTTTATTAAGGGGGTTATTTTTTTTTTACAAAAAATGCAAGGTATTTGTTTTTGTTTTTCTCGAATGTATTTGTCATAGAGACATGCGGTTTTTTTTAAACAAAAATTACAAAATTATAGAATATTACGAAATTTTCTTTTTCTTTTTTTTCGCTGTCATTTTTTATCCAGGGGTCGTCAAAGTCGGCCTTGCAAAATCGATCTAATTTGCGGTGCCACAGATAAATCCGTTGCGCATCGCCCGAAACAAAGAAAAAAAAACTACGACTTATAGTTTTTTTTAACTTGTGGCACCGCATTGAAAAAAGTCATTTTGAGAAAAACGTATTTAAAGTTTTTAATATAATGTACTAAATACACAATTTAATTTAATGTACTAAATACACCATGGTGTTCAAAGATGCTGACACATTAAAAGGTCATGTGCATGAGGTATTATAATGAAAAAGAGAGCAGCTGGCATGCAATAGCTCGCGGAGCGATGAAAAAAACGGTTTCAGAGGATCATAGATATGGGGATATATAAATCTATAACTTCGTCAAAAAAATAGATATTGAGATGATTTCTAAGGTTTTGAGCTTTCATAATATCAAAAAATCTCAAAATCGGAAAAAAATAAATAAAAAAAGAACAACCCCCTTAAAGTCGATTTATTCAAAACTTTTATATTGGAGTATATAAAAGTGGTCTCTAGGAAATATTGTAAATTTTATCTAGTTTCACCCTGTCTAACTGAAAAGGAATAAAACCACATAAATGTCCCGAATCATCTATTCATTACTAAATAAGTTTTGAATGAAACGACTTTGAATTCGATATTTCATTCTTTAGCACAATAATTAGAAAAATTGTGACATTTTTTTGGTTTTAGTCAAATAACTTTATGCACTCCGATATAAAAGTTTTACATAAAACGACTTTGAATTCCATATTTCATCAACAAATTAGATTACCAATCTTGTATTTTGTCTTTGTTTAATTAACTCCAAAAACACATTTCACTCTGTATATTTGCAATTACAATCCCATTGTCTTCGCACCTTTGTCGGTTTGATAAATGCACCAAAAGTAACCATTTAATTACCTTATAAGCTCCTAAATTCTCGACGACGCAGGGTAAGTTGGCATCGCGCCCGACTGCTACCGTGACATTCGGAATCGGTTCTGTGAATCGGGGTTCATCTGTTACAACTGCAAAATGAAATTTGGTCAGATTTGATTAGGTGGTCATTGTTAATTGGAAATGGATGATAAAGAAATATTTATATATATTCAACTACTAAATTGCAAATTGGCATCAGTTGCATTAGTACCATATTTGGGTAGATGCTGCTTGACGTAGATGGAGATTCCATCAAGTTTGTGTCTTTGGCGACTTTTGGACATTGTGCATATTTCTTGTTTTTTTTTTGTACAAGACAAACAGGTTTTGAATTTTACAAAATGCTCATACGGTTCCTGAGATATCGTCTGGTTTATATTTTAATTTATTTTGTTATAATTTAATTAAATATATTACAAAAATTATATATCATTCGAAATCTGATAAAATTATCTACAAATCTATACATAACGTTTAAAAACTTTTCAAACAAAATTAAATAAGGAAAATACATGAAATTTAAAGTTTTGGTATCTAGATGGATTTTATCGGTTACATTTTTTTATAATGTTGTTGACATTTTGTCTAAGTTCCCATATATTATTATATATCGTTGAAAAGTTTATAAAATTGTTCATAAATCTGTATATAACAATTTTTTAATGTTGGAACAAAATTATATAAAAATAATTCCTCAAACATTAAAATTAATTAAATTAAATTTACGTAAGGCATATTGTTTTAGCTTCAACGATTTGGTTTATATTTTAATTTATTTTGTTATAATTTAATAAAATATATTATAAATATTATATATCATTAGAGAGCTAATAAAATTATCTATAATTACTTATATAAGGTTGTCAAATATCTCCCTTCCGCCTTTTTGTATTATAAACCAATAGTAAAAAAGCGGAAGGGAGATATTTGACAACCTAATATAAATTGCAAAAATTCATAGAACAAAATTCATTGGAAAATAACTTTCCCAGAATGTTACTTCACTATTTTGGAAGCATTTGATGCCCTGGGAGCAAAAAAATCGAGAACTATATTAAGGACCACCCGTTACAAAATGTTATAACTAAATTCTTGTTACATGAATCACCTTATATATTTTGCGATATTTATATAATAATAATAATTATAATTTATAATTATATGAACAATCTTATTATCGGGTGCCAGTATATGGTTTATTTTGAAATGTTTTATGAAAGTATAAGAATTTATCGAGGTTTCTTTGAACTATAACTAATTGTGCAATTTATTATATTATATATATATATATATCTATATATGAAGCATTTTATAAAATTGCGTCTTATTTAAAATTAATTGGTCTTTAAGCAAATTAACCACAAATTTTATTTCTTATTTAGCTTTAAATTTTGAAGATCATTCATAATTTTTGGGGGAAAAATTGTACTTTGCTATAAATGTATATTTATATATAATTTAAAAAGTACATTTATTATGACCTTATCAGAATGCTAAAAAAATTAGGCGATATCAGTTATTAATTAATTTGATTCTAGGAAGAAGTAAGATTTTAGGAAAATCCAATAGCAAAGGCGAGAAAATATTGCAACATATTGCATTTTACCATAATTTGAACGAGCGCAAAAAATATTAATTTCAGTAAATTTTACATTTGTAATTATAGATAATTTTATCAGCTTTCTAATGATATATAATATTTATAATATTTTTTATTAAATTATAATAAAATATAAAATATAAATCAAAGCGTTTGAAGCTATAACAATATGGACGCCTTACGTAGATTTGATTTAATTAATTTTAAAGTTTGAGGAATTATTTGCATATAATTTTGTTCTAACATTTAAAAATTGTTATATACAGATTTATAAACGATTTTATATACTTTTCAATAATATATAATAATATATAACAAAATCTCAACAGAATAGTGCTAAATAAAAAAAAATGTAACCGATAAAATCCACCTAGATACATAAACTTTAAATTTTACATATTTTTTTCATTGACTTCCCAAAGGAGAAGATTGTTTTCATCAAAAAAAACGATTCTCTAATTTTATGTTTTCTCGACGTTTCAAGCCATTCTGAATCGAATGAGGCCAAATTTGGAAAAAGTATCTGTGTGTGTGTTTGTGAACAGATTTTTTACCGTAAATCGACGTTTTCTCGAAAACGGCTGGGCCGATTTCAAAAATTTAAAAGTCATTTGATGTATCTCGATGAGGACTATTGTTTATCATTTTTGCGTGACGATCAGCTAAGCCGTTTCTTTGTAAATAGCAGGAAAGTGAAAAATGGTTTGTCCACATTTTAGCCCACAATTCTGAAAGATATTTATTGGGAATCGTGCTTATCAGTTTTTGGTAGAGATCTCTTGTAATGAAGTGTTAAAAAAAAATTCGACGATTTTTATTATTATTTTTTTGGCGGTGGACACTAGGGTTTGTCGGTTTTCAAAAACCGGTTTTAAAAACCGGTTTTTTGGCGAAAATTATAGAATTCTAAAACCGGTTTTTTAGTGATAAAATTCGGTTTTCACTGTATACATGGAAAATGACAAATATAGTCAAATATAAAAGATGAAAGCATTTTGATTCTTGAAATCATATCATTTCTTTAGCATTTGATATCTTATCAGTCTGCAACAGTTTCCAGAAAAGCTTTGTATATAATAATTTAGATTTTTATACCAGTGTATACATTAATTTAAATCAGCGTGACTTCTTCTTGAAGAAGTAACTTCCTCTACTCAAACTTAAAAAAAAGAGTTTTAAACCCTAGAAACCACAATTGAAGAAAAAAAAACTTGGAATTATTATATCAGACTTCAAAAACAATTAAGCATAATTTGGTCGCAAGTATGAGAGTATTTTCTATTTTGAGAGAAAATTTTGTGAGTAAACAAAGGACACGTCTATGTAGAAATTCGATAGACGTTCTCAGTTTTTTGAAATCGTATTTTATTAAACAAAAAAACAATTAGAATTAAATAAAATTACTCGGAACAGACAATACCCGAGTTTTAAACTTAATTGCTTTTAAAACTAAAATTTATATTAAAAAGTATGTATCAAAATGTATCTAATATTTCTTTATTTATTTTTTTTTATTGATTTTTCATTTTTTTTGTACTAAAGTTTGTCAGTTTTGTGCGACAATCTGCCAAGCCGTTTCTTTGTAATTTGAAAAAAAGTGTTAAACTTTTCGTCGACATTTAAGTTCAAACTACCGATCTCGATTTTAAAAAATCAAAAACTGTTCGAAAGATATTAGTTGGGAATAATACTAATTAGTTTTAGGTGAAAATCTACCGAGCCGTTTTCTTGTAATTAACTGTTGAAAAAAAAATTTAGGCCGATTTTTATGGAACTTTTTTTGCCGATATAAATCATGGTCTTGTATAATAGAACTTACTGAATTATTACGGCTTTACGACAAGTAGTTTAATTTTAAAAATTCATCAAAGTTTGAGAAAATGAGTAGTTTTTTTTGACGTTTGTTAAAATTAAAATTAGACGATTCATTTGGTGTAACGATAGAGTACTTTGTCTTAATGAACATACAAATCACTAGAGTCCAACGGAAACTGGTTTAATTATAAAAATCATTGATTTGTGAAAATTTGCTGTTAGAAAATACTCCGAGTTAACGTGTTCGCTCATTTTCAATTATGTGTAATGAATCCACTCGGAATACTTTTAATGACTCATAAATTAATTTATATTTTATTGATCAAGTCGATTATTTACACATATCGGGAAGTTGTATGTAACTTGCCTCAAGGCTAAATACCAATACCAACTAGTTTTTAAATGAGTCAATTTCCTTACCTTGATTTATGATGGTGATGATATGGAGCAGGAATGACAGTCCATAACTTTTTCTACCAAAGGCCATTTTGAAACATGCTACAAGGCGTAGCTTGCTGCAAAAGAAAAACAAAAAATATTAAAAACTAGTGTTGTATGGCACCGTCCATTTTTTCTGAGGTATGCCAAAATGTTTAGAAACCTTCAAAACGTCGAGAAAAACAAAAAAATTCATTTTCGATTTTCGGCCCATTACTATAACTACCCTACGGGAAGTTAATAAAAAAAATGTGTACTATTAAATAAACGATCAACTAAGAATGTGCTGAACTTCCTGCTGATGACACACATACAGTTCCAAAACGTGCAAAATAATATTAAAATCATTTCCAGACAGTCTGCCCCAAATATCTGTTTCAAGTATCCAAAAAGCATCCCCAAAAATTCATCTCCACCTCATTCTAATGTCTTTAAATAAGAGATGCGTCTTCGTCTCTTACTATCTATCATTTGAAAATATTCAGCTGCTCCATTGCTCCATTTCTTCTATTGCTCCACCGCACTCGAAATAATGACGACCATAAAAACGGACATAAAAATGAAATATACATAAAAAACGACGACGTGTGCCCTCGGAAAAAATTCCCACTTTTTACACTAATAATTGTAGACAGGTATTTGTAATGGACACCACACATTTGTAATGGATCGTAAAAGATAGAGGGAGACACTGCTGAAACATAAACTGACTGATTTGTTTTTAACTTCCCGTTTGCTTTTAATGGTAAAAAAATTATTACATCTTTTTTTTTATTTTACATAAAATATTTTTGTAATTTTGGATTAAAAATTCAAACTGCTGGGCTGTATGGCATCATGCCTTAAGGCAAATTGCTGGAACTTCCCGTACCGTAACGAAATGTTCGAGGAATATTGAATGTTTTCAAATAGATTATTATAAATATTGTAACATTGTCTAATATTTATAAGAATTATATAAACTGAATTGCAAAGTTGAAATTATTTGTTTAAAATATATTAGAACTATAGTCAGAATTAAAAGTAAAATCTGAATTATTTTCGATATACAAAAAAAAATTTTTTTGAAAAAAAAAATTGAAAAAAAATTTTTTTTTCCAAAATCAATTATTTTATTTAGACAAGTAGAAAGTTCTTTGAATCATTTAAATCGGACGCTTAGTTCTCTCAAAAACTGCCATTTTGTACACATTTAGCTCCGTATCTTCGAAATGGCTGGGCCTGCCTTTGCCAAAAACTAATAAACACTTCTGCCAATCATTACTAATTGAATGTGTTTTAGATCATTCAAATCTGATACTCCATTCTCTCAAAAACTCGATTTCTATTTTCTGCACTCTTTGCTCCGTATCTCCGAAACGGCTGGACCTGCCTTTGCCAAAAACGCATCAGCTCTTTTCCCTATCAATAGGAATCGAATGTTTTTTGAAC